TTATTTTAACCTTTTATTTTCTGTTTTTACCATTTTAATCCTTAAGGTTCATGTTTTGCGCTTGGGTCATTCTCCATATGAGTCATTTTCATTTGCAGCTTAATACATTTTAGTCCTTAAATAGGTGTTTTTGTGTTTCTGATTTCGTCTTCATATTTTACGCGTATTCAATTTTAGTCCTGAGTGGTATTGTATTTTGCTTCTGTTCTTTATACATTGAACTGTTAATTTTCACATGTTTCATTTTAGTACCTAGGTCGAAGTTTGCAGGTTTCTAATTCTGTCTATTTATTTTATGGTTCATTTAATTTTCGTCCTAGTGTTGATTTGTTTATTTTCTGTTGTTTAGATATTTGACCTTCATATTTTTGCATGTTGCACTTTAGTCATGAGTGTGTTGGGATTTATTCTGTTTTTAGTCCCCTGCAATAGGAATAGTTTCATTTCTGTTCTTAGTATTTAATATGGTATAATACTAGCATTTCTACCTTAATTCATATTTTATTTATAATTAGGTTATTAAAGTTTTATTTGATATCATTTAGTCCTCGTTTTAATAAATATATTTATTTTCTGAAATTTATAATTTGTTGTATTATGTTTTCGTTTGTTTTGTTTAGGTCATATTTGTTCATTAAATATAACTATGTATATAGTATATTTTTAGTTATAAAATGTGTATATAATTTTTATGGAAATGTCACATTGCATGATATTTTAAAATATTGGTTTAATTAATTTTTACATGACATCATTTTAGTATGATTTGCATGTTAGCCTCACGTGCATAAACTCAATGTATTTACATAATTTAATTAAAGGTAATATCTTTTTAATTTAAAATTATTTTAAGTGGGTTGTCTTAACTGATTAGATATCCGCTTTTGATGATTTTAAATTAAAAGTATATCCTATCAGTGACACCTAAGAAATTAATTTATCGCTTTTAAAATTTGGGAACAGAAGAAAAAGAAATATTCGGCTATTTAAATTTATCGAGAAAAGATAGTTAGAACTTATCTAAGATCTGGTCTCGATACTTGTAAATAATCGAATATTCTTTATCTTTCTAAAGGTCTGGTAATTTTAATTTAATCTATTTTGGTGTTTTTGAATGTCGTAAAATTCGTTGTTGTTTTGTCGAGGATCATAAACCAAATTAAATTCGAATTTGTAAATTTCATTGCAAAGACATTAATTAATTGATGAGGTACCGATTTAGGGCGTTGTGGGGGTGCTAATCCTTCCCCACGCGTAACCGACTCCCGAACCCGGATTTTGGTAATGTAGACCGCAAATTTGTCGTTTTAATTAAAATTATTTTTTTATAAAATGACAATGTTTTTAGGTGCCCAATCACACCCTAATCAAATATTGGTGGCGACTCCTCGAACCATATGTTTTTATTGTAAAGGAATTTCCAAATTTTCGAAACGAGAGATTTTCTAAAATCACATTGTTTTTAATTAAAAATCAAACATAAAGAGAATAATTAAAAATTGGTGTGGTTTCCAAAATCTCGCCCCACCCCGTTAAAAATCGTTTCGACACATAAATTGCAAAAGGATATAAATTTGGAGGGATCACGAATGTGATTTTGCCATGTGGGAAATTACAGAAAAATCGGCCTTTTAGGCCATTTTTCTCTCATTTTTCACTTTGCTAGAGAGAGAAACTCTGAACTCTCTCTAGAATTCCCTCACCGGAGGGAATTCCGACCACCGTCACTGTCGTTCTCCGGCGTCGATCACCACCGCCGGCCACTACACACGGTGGTCGGAAAATGTGAAAACTACCTTAAATGGTAGATCACACAACCCTAAAGCCAAATCTAGCTTCCGTTTCTTTTAAAAAATCATAAACTTTCCTAGATCTAAATTTATACATTCGGCGATTTTAGTCTCCGATGAAGCTTAGAGACTCCAACCACTGTGGGTAGGTATTCTCGATCTCTTTTCTTCTTTTGTTTTAATGTTTGGCTGCTATGGTTTTTTTTTCTGGTGCTTGCTTACTCTCCTTCCCCCTTGTCTTTGCAGGTTCGATGGTGGCCTTTTATAGGCCACCATGGTGCTCCTTGGACCGAATGATTGAGTGCCCTTTGGTGAGTCATCGAAGCTACGATGGTGACTCACTGAAGGGCTGCGACGTGTGCGGCTGTCTTCACTTCTGGAGTCTTCGATTGCGGCTACAACGTCGTGGCAGCAGTTGGATGGGGAACATAACGGCGGAGTGGTTGAAGTAGAGGCGGCGGAGCAGTTAGAGTGGTTGAAGGCGACGCCGAAATCACCCTAGGGTTGGTGAACCCTAGGGTTTCTGTTGGGAGAGATTTGGATCGTTGGATTATGGCCAGATCCAACGGCTGAAATTTGTTGGCGGCTGGAGATAGATGCTGAAAACCCTAGATGGGTGTTGGGTCGGGTCTGGATCTGGGCCTCTGGGTTCTTATTTGTAATTGGATTCTGATTTGGGCATGTAATAATAATAATAATAATAATATTTATAATAATAATAATAATAATAATAATTTTAAAAATGAAAGAATTAGTGTCTACAATCGCAATGTAGCTTCAGCATTCGCAATTTCATTTGTTTTTTGTTCTTCTTCCTCTCACATTACTCTTTTTTGGTGCATGAACTTTGAAACTACTGACCATCGGCTCGATTTGGATTCAGCCTCTGGCCCTGAAATAAAAGACAACACGAATTCTAGCACGCTGACAGCTACTGCTTCTACTTGTTTTAAGGTGTTAATCATGGCTCCTCTCTCACCATCTTTGTTAAAGGAAGAGCTGCTGAGTTTATTCTCCATATGTTTCAAATTCTTTTAAGGCCTTGCAGGTTGCCTTTCTTACTGCCTTCCTAGAGGTTAAGTATTTCCTAACCTCATTAGCAATCCCTTCAACTCCTCGTCTTTGACTCAAAATCGATTGAAGTTCTTGTGTACATTCCTTGGTTTGCGACATGAAATCTTTAGCGGTTCCACATACATCAAGGAGCATGAGAGATCCATCCAAAAGTTGTTCAACCCATTTGCTTTGCTGATCTTGAGCTAGATGTTGTTGAACAAGGGGAAATTGAAGCCACATATCAACGGTCATACAAATCTTGAAGATAGTTGAGTTGATGTCCAATCGATGATGTTGTAGTGGCCTACTGAGATGCCCTCAATCGGTGCAGATTTTCATCGATTTGTGAAGTGATGGGGTGTTGCCTTGAAGGCAAGCTGTTTGAGCGAGCATTGAAAGAAGGTTGGACATTCAAAAGAGAGGAAGCCATTTTTTCTACTTTTCCTTTTCGGTAGAGAGGAAAGAAGGCCTTTCAATTGTGTTGCAACTCAGTCTAGCTATTTGTTGTCTTCCCATTACCATCTGTTGAATATATATATATATATCACAGGCTGTGGGGGAGACAAGAGGAATCTCAACCTGTTTAAATATCAACTACAAGTAACACGGACTTGATTTAGATCTACACAATTATCACGAAAATGTTCGTCTTTTGTCTCCTCTCCACATCAAAACAACTCGTTACCCTTATCTTCAATAATATTATACCAATACAATAATAACACACACGATGGTGCTAAGGCAGTATCAGGTAATGGCCATTTTATCGTTTCTGTTCTTCCGTTTATATTAATAGACAATTGCTTTCAAGTTGTCTTCAGGTTATAGTGTTATTGTTGAATTTGTTCTGCAAAAGGGAGACAAGATCCGCATGCTTGACTTCTATAATATAATGTCTAGCAGGAAAGGTGTACTTGTCTGCATTTTTTTAAACATAGGAAGAAGATGGAACAATTCTTGAAGTTTCAAATGTTCCCAACTGAAATACAGCTAAAACAATTTTTTATAATGCAACTCGTGTCTGATCTGATCTGAACCAACCGTGTGAATGACAATTGATTTTGATTAGTGTGTTTAACGATGTTAAAAGTGGGTGGAAATGCAAATAAAATGCTTGGAGATTATTGTAGTATCAAAATTGTATTTATTTGATTATATGTACATTTCATTTACGTGCAAGATTGATGTTGAAATAATTTTCTAAGGCTCGAGTATGTTGAGAACGGAGACCCTAGTTTTGATCGTACACATCTGAAGAAGCAGTCAACTCCATCTTTTAGCTTACTCTGCATCCCAACATTCATACCGTTCTCAATTTTGCTCATTTTTGGACTCAAAAGCGATCTTAAAGCAGAATCGATCTTTTCGAATTCGTTAATGTCTCGTTTCCCGGCTTGCTCGCACACTATTCATTTGTGGTTCAATAGTTTAGACACTAACAACCAGAGTGTAGACTTCCATTGTTGCTTTGGCCCTGAGATGAGGGCTAACAAGTACTCAAACATGGAAGAAGCTACTGCTTCAAGCTCCCTTAGCAAGCTAAAGGCTATCCATTGCCTTGGTCTCATGATCATCCGTAGACGAGAAACCAGGTTTCGTTTCCAGACCCTCGGATTTAACATCAGGCACTGATTGGATGACGGATTTTTTTAATGGCCAGACACAATTTTAACTGTCTCAATATCATGCGTAACAAGAAATAGAAGGAAAACTTTCTAAAGTATATTTCAAATTGACAAAAGAATATTACAATTGTGCTGCATTTAATGTACAGAATGAAGTCGCATGATTTTGAGACTAGATTAGTGGTTGAGTGTGTTGAGAATATCGACTCTGAATTTGATCATGCGCCTAAACAGACCCTCAACCCCTTCTTCAAAGTCTTGTATACAAGTCTGATAATTTTAGCTCATTCTGAACTTTCTCAATTTTTGTCACGTCAGATTTTCTTGTTGCAAAGGATAGCAATGAAGTGTCAGCGACTTCCATTTCGTTCATCTGCTTATTGTAGCACATTAAGAGAGACTTCCTGCACCTCCCTCAATAGGCTAACTATGGAACCCGTCTTGATCAAAACAGCGTTTTGCTTATTGTCCTTATGTTTCAAATTCTTTAGGGCCTTCAAGATTTCCTTTTTAGCTGCCTTCTTGGAGGTCAAGTGTTTTCTTGCTTATTGTCCTTATGTTTCAAATTCTTTAGGGCCTTCAAGATTTCCTTTTTAGCTGCCTTCTTGGAGGTCAAGTGTTTTCTGACCTCATTAGCAAAGCATTTTGTAGCACCTCTCTTTCGACACAAGACAGATTGAAGTTCTATTGTGCATTCCTTTACTTGCAACAAGGCATCCTTGGCTGGTGCGCATACATCTAAAAGCCTGAGAGATACTCTCAACAGCTCATCAACACATTCCCTCTGCTGATCTTGGGATAAGATTTGTTGAGTGAAGAGCAGTTGAAGCAGTTTCTCAATGCAATCATGCAAATCTTGAAGTCTACCGAATTTGTACTTTAACGACGACGACGTAGATGCGGACTCAGACTATGCCAACCTACTCAAATGCTCATTAACCTCTGAAGTTAAAGGGTGTGATCGAGAGGGAAAGCTATTAGAACGAGTGTGGTAACTGGCTTGGATGTTTGAAGGAACGGTAGCCATTATCTCTTCCGAAAAGAAAACTCGGAAATTGTTATCTCGATTAGATCTTGAAATTTGCCTTCTTCCCTTCATTTACTCAATGTATATATCCTATGAAGGAGGAGACATGAAGAATATCACCCTTTCAAGTTGAGTCGTGTGGTAATATGGACTTCACACTTACCTCAACAACTATCTCAGCATGGTTCAAGCAATGTCTCCCTCCTAACAAGCTCTGCAACTCATTACATGAAACTAATTTATGCGGCTAATATTGTTTAATCATTTTCATTTGCATGTACATGAACATGTGCATGCATTTAACATGGACGAGTTTATTAAGTTTTTTCATTATGTTCTGAATTTATTGTCCTGCAGGAGCCAGACAAGATCTGCGAGCACAACTTCTACATGTCTTGTCAACATATTTTGCCAAATTTTGGGATTAAATAGTAATTAGGTCCCTATTAATTTCGAAGTTAGACAACTTAACCCCTCTCATTATCTAATCCTGATTCCGTCCCTGCTCCAAATACACGGAGAATATCCACATTGGACGTCATATATCTATCCAAGTATGTTAAAATATAAATCCCATGTGTTTCTTTGCGCACGTTTATTACCAACCAAGTTGCAGGTACACGAGAGCATTGACAATTTGACATTGTTTCAACTAAATAAAAAAAAGGAAAATTGAATCATTTACACGCGTGTTTATGCATATAGTTTTAAACAACAAAACAAGGTGTAGGACAAGATCCACTTTCGCATCCTTTGCTCCATTTCCCCCTAACAAAACAGAAGAAAATATCGTGATTGACAGACTATGAAACAATCATATTCTATTTGCTTACAGCGTGTGAAATTGTATCTACCATGTGATACTCAAAGCGTTTCAATATCTTCATTGGGACAGCAGGAATCTGGACAGCTCATGTATCCATTGAAAAATCCCAGAAATCTTGAATCCTTGTTTAGCAAATGTGATAATGGAGGCTCTATATAAGTTAAAATGGGGTAGCATTCACTAACTGTTAATATGTAGTGTTAGTAGTAATGTGAATGTTAGAAGTTAAAAAAAGAATAGCTTAAGATGCATCGATAACCATTCTTGAAAGCTAAGAAATAGAGAGAACATGTGGAATTAAGACTGTATAATTTTTTTTTGTTCTAAAAGTTGTGTACATGTACATTATACTTTTATGTACAATTAGAATGCATAAGATCTCAACAGCTGAGGATGTTTAGAACAGTGACTCTAGCTTTGATCAACCTCCTGAAGAAACTTTCAAGACCATGATCGAGATCTTGGATGCACATCTCTGAGTTTTGGAGCTCATTTTGCGCATTCTCAACATGCTTCATATTTCCAGATTTAATAAAGGAACACAATGTAGCTTCAGCCTTCACAATTTCATTTGCCTGTTGCTCTTTTTCCTCGCACATGACTCTTTTCTGGTGCATGAACTTTGAAACTAGTGACCATCGGCTCAATTTCGATTCAGTCCCTGGCCCTGAAATAAAGGACAACAAGGACTCTAGCACGCTAACAGTTACTGCTTCTACTTGTTTTAAGGTGTTAATCACGGCTCCTCTCTCACCATCTTTGCTGAAGGAAGAGCTGCTAAGTTTATTCTCCATATGCTTCAAGTTCTTCAAGGCTTTGCAGATTGCCTTTCTCACTGCCTTCCTAGAGGTTAAGTATTTCCTAACCTCATTAACAAACCCTTCGACACTCCATCTTCGGCGCAAAATTGATTGAAGTTCTTGTGTGCATTCCTTTGTTTGCGACAAGGCATCTTTAGCGGTTCTGCATACATCCAGGAGAACGAGAGATCCATCCAAAAGTTGTTCGACCAATTTCCTTTGCTGCTCTTGAGCTAGAGCTTGTTGAGCAAGGGACAATTGAAGCAACATATCAACAGAGTCATACAAATCTTGAAGACAGTTGAGTTGATGTCCTATCGATGACGATGTGGAGGCCGACTGAGACGCCCTCAGTCGGTTCAGATTTTCATCAATTTGTGAAGTGATGGGGTGCTGCCTTGAAGGCAAGCTGTTAGAACGAGCATGGAAAGAAGGCTGGACATTCAAATGAGAGGAAGCCATTTCTTTTCTGTTCTTTTTTTTAGAGAAGAAAGGCCTTTCAATTGTGTTGCAACTCAGTCTAGTTTGCTGTCTTCTCATTACCATCCGCTGAACATATATATATCACAGGCAGGCTGTGGGGAGACAGGAGGAATCTCGTTTGTGCTGCAAAAGGGAGGCAAGATCTGCATGCATGACTTGTATAATATAATGTTTAGCAGGAAAGCGTGTACTTTGCTGCATTTTGTTTTTAAAAGATGGGAAGAAGATGCCATCTTTCTTGAAGATTCAATTGTCCCCTAAATGAAAAACAGCTCAAACAATTGTCTGTAAGGCAAGCTGTTAGAACGAGCATGGAAAGAAGGTTGGACATTCAAAGGAGAGGTAGCCATTTGCTTTGTTTTAGAGAAGAAAGAAGGCCTTTCAATTGTTATTAAACTCACTCTAGCTATTTGCTGTCTTTCCTTTACCATCTGCTTAACATATATATATATATATATATATCGCAGGTTGAGGAGAGACAGGAGGAATTTCATCCTGTTTAAATATCAATTACAAGTAACGTGGACTTGATTTAGATCTACTCGATTATTGCGAAAATGTTCGTGTTTGGTCTGCTCTCCACCATCAAAACAACTCATTCCCCTTATCTTAAATAACAAAAATCTTTTGTTAATACACTATGATACATTTGAATAATTCACTCTTAGAAAGAGAAGTTGTTTCTGTATAGCATAATCATTTACAAGATTCAGAGCCAACTGAATTATAATCCACAAACAATTGACTGTTGATCTGCATGCTCTTGATTCAAATGAGTATCCGACGATTTTCCTTGGCAAGTCCAGAGCCATGAACAACGAAGACTTGGGATTGAGAAGAGAATTTATTCACGTGTTTTGGCAAGTTATGATCCTAAAGAGGGATTTTTAGGATTCCACTTACACAACGCGGACACAGGGGTGCATGGTTGTCGTCAGCTCGTATCGTAAGGTGTTAGATTAAGTCCCACAATGAACTCAACCCTCATGTTTAGTTGTCACCGTTGAGTTTGGAACCCTGAGCATATTGTCAATGATAAGCCGGAGGAAGGTGAAGATGACGTCAAGTCATCATGCCCCCTATGCCCAAAGTCAGGATATCAATTTAAGGGGACAGTGAACCCAAAACAAAGCATAACTTTGTCCTTGAACCTACATCTAAGTGGATTAGCAATGTGAGTGACAGTGTCACATCCCTATTAAGTAGAGGCAGAATTCACTAAAGTCTAGATCACAAGACTCATTCTGTTAGGCCTCATGGAGTGGGGCTCTAAGAAAGTAAAGTAAGACTCTATGATACATAAAGATGGGGTGTAGATGATGACGTTACACACCGTATAAAGGCGGTATGGTTAAAGTGGAGGGCTGCTACTGGATCAGAATGTTGGACAATCAAGAAGGATCACGTAAGGAGGATGGAGGCCGCAAAAATGAGAATGCTTCGATGGACATGTGGTAAGACTCTGTGGGATATGACACCAAACTCTGCTATTAGGATGCCCTTGGGGGTGGTTCCTGTATCCGAAAAATTGAGGGAGGGAAGATTACAGTGGTTTGGACATGTCCTTAGGCGTCAACCGTTGAATACGGTCAGGAGGGTAGAGTCGCTTACAGTTGACGGTGCTAGAAGGAGAGGACGACCAAGGCGGAAGTGAGAAGACTGCTTGAGATCTGATTTGATGGATTTAGCCCTTACCGAGGACATGACCTCTGATAGGAAAGTATGGAGACTTAAGACCAGAGCAGCTGAGTAGTGTGGGTCACAGCCATAGGGTGTAATATCTCTGTCTTCTTTTTAATGCCTTCATAGTAATTTTCAGTACTTCTACTTTTTATACGTTTCTGTCATTGGAATTTATGAAGGCTTAGAACTAGGGTCACGAAGTACTGTTGCGTTAGCTTAGCATTTAACCATTTGACTTTATTCCTTATCTTAGCTTGTTATCGTTGATTTTTGTGTATACCTCTCTTCATGTTTCCTCTCTTTATATTTAGTCGGACCTTACGTTTTTTGTCTATATGCAGATATTTTTACACAGGGATTTATTTATTTATTTATACATGCATTGCATTTTATCTTTACTTTTAATTTTCTGACTGCCAGAGGTCTTTCACGAAAACTATTCTCAACCTGACGTTGGGAGCAGCCTACTATCCTACCTCCCCTTACCCCATTGTATATGGCCCATAGGGTTTTGTTATTGTTGTTTGTGTTAAATGTAGAGTCGCTATTATTATTCCGACACTAAAAGATTGTGTAAATGCAACGTCAGTCCATAAATTTAGTCCGAATAAATCTCTCGAATTTATCAAGGGTCTTATCCTTTGAAGAAAAACCCTTACAGAGATGATCTTAACATGCAGAAGAGTTTGTATCTTATACCGCCGGAGGTAGCAGCCTTGATACCATGGTGGTGTTTTGGAAATGAATAATCCTGGTTGCCACTGAGTGGGCTTTAAAGAAGCTTTGAGGCCATGGCGCTCGAGTACGCTGTTAGTTGCCGAGTAAAATGGCGCTCGAGTCTTGTCTCACCTAGCGGACGGTGTTGGCTCAAGCAATTTGTTTATCTTCATAAAAAAAAAGGCACTAAACACATCCGGAGTTCATTTTTCAACACAAATGTAATTTAATGGTAAATATACACGGCCTCTTAAGAAATATCTATCTGCATTGAAAATCAGGCTGCATGCTACAACGTCGTGATGACCCTGCACCTACAGGCTTGGTTTTTCTGGAACCCTAAACCGTAACATAAGCACACATCCGGCGTCTTCGATCGGAACAACCGATAGGCGACTCGTTGCTGCTGCGATTGGTTTAAGTCGGAAGATGAAAATCGAGACTGCTGGCAGCTGGGAAACGGAAGCCCGATAGAGAGTTCAAGATTGATGTGTGGGAAAACTTCTTCACTACTTAATCCGCTGCTGCCGTTTGAATCTTCGGACGAGTCTGCTCCGTTGTCTATGTTGTCAGGCACTTGCATCAGTGGCACCACCGTCTCTTTCGTTTCTAATAGGAATCTATTGGCGTTGATCTTATTATTGTTTCTGCAATTGCCGCTGTTGTTCGTGGTGGAAACCGAATCGACGGAACGGTGCGTTTTAGGATCGATCCCTCGGCTATACAGCTTTCTTTTGATATGAGTGTTCCAGTAGTTCTTGATCTCGTTATCCGTTCTCCCCGGCAATCTTGCAGCAATCATAGACCATCTGAAACCAAAAAAAAAAGGCTACCCAGATGATATTTTAATGTTATTTACTCGTATCGATTAAAAAAACAAGAAAAGAACATACTTGTTACCAAGTAAGCTGTGAAGATTAATGATGAGTTCATCTTCTTCTTCAGTGAAGTTTCCTCTCTTGAGATCAGGCCTCAAGTAGTTTATCCATCTAAGCCTACAACTCTTCCCACATCGAAGCAAGCCTGGAAAAAATCAACACAAAACAATCAGAAAAACAAGTCCAAAACGCTCCACTGCAATTCAACTTCTCATAGAAAACTAGCAGACCAGCAGCTTTGGGGAGAGATCTCCAACAGCCTTCGCCATGGAGTTTGATATAGCTAATGAGACGCTCATCCTCTTCGCTTGTCCATGCACCTTTGTTGGTGTGTTCTTTCTCACAACAAGGAGATCTACCCATGAGGAATCTATTTGTTCTTTCGGTGTTTTTTTATGGAGATAATGAAGAAAGGAAGTGGTGGGGGAATATAAACAGAACAGATGGGCGCCTGTGATTGAATCAGGGCCCCTTTCTTGTGATATTTTTTGTGGTAAGCAAAGGTTTTTTGACCGAGTTGGTGAGGAGTTGGTAGGTAGTTCTACTTTTCATTTTACTTTTTTTGCCATCTGGTCCTTCTTCTCTTCTCTTCTCTTCTTCTTCTTCTTCTTCTTCTTCCTCTTCTTCTTCCATTCTCATCAGTTTTCGCTTTGTAAATGTTTGGAAGTAAAAGTGAAAAGAACCGAATTGTGATAAAATTGTAAATATTTGGGCCAAAATTGTAATATAACACAAATAATGTCTTCCTTGTGCAAAATGGCACTAAACACAGTTAGGGTGCATTTGGTTCACGGAATGTAAGATTACCAGTGGGAATAACACATTACCAATGGGAATAAAAAATTATCAGAGAATAAGATTACTGTGAATGTTGTATTTTGTGTTTGGTTGGTTTAGCAGAAATGTAAGATTACCGTGTTTGGTTAAAGAAATAAAATATTATTTTAATGTACATTTGACCAAATTGTCCTTATTATATATTTGTATAATATTACAAATTGGAAAATATTTATATATTTTCTTTAAAAAAATAAATTCATAAAATTTATATAATTTTTTTACAAAATTAAAAATATAAAAAAGATTTAATGAAAGGGTAAATTTTTATTTTAACCCCTGAATTTCATATAAAATTTTAATTATAGATTTTTTTGTAAATATAAAATAATTTAAGGATAAATTTGTAATTTAACCTTCTTAGAATTTTTATTATTCAATACGGAATAATGATATTTTTGAGAAAAAAATTAAGGGCATTTTAGTCTAAAATACCGGTAATGTTACAATACCTAAGTGAATAAAGATTCTCAATAATATACCAAAAAAATTCACTATTAATAATAAAATATTATCGAAAATGACATTCTCAACCAATTAAACGAGAGAATATAAATTCTATTCCAAAAAAAAATTTACATTTCTCAATCTAAACGCCCTTAGTTATTCTTCTATATATCCTCCGATATGGTCTTACTGTCCCCCCTTTTCTATTTTTAAATATTTATTTATAATCGGTCTTTAAAAAGGTTTCTAGAATACCATATTACATTCTCCGCTCACACATGTCAATTTCGGTATACATGTATCTCTTTCTATTTAAGTTAGTTTTGCCAAATTTCGGTTAACTTCCTAAGTTTTAGTATATACATAAACCAAAGGAAAATTCTATTATGTTTGATGAGTATCGGTGAGCGCAACTATTGATAAGTATTATTAATTTAGTTTAATTTATAAATATTTAAAATTATAAAAGGTTTAATAAATAATTATAAATTAGTTAAAAATTTATAATTAAATCATTTAAAATAAAAAGTAAACTATATCAATAACCACTTAACTATTGTCCCTTTTTATTTTGACCACTATTTTTGAAATTTTGTCAATCATATCACTCAACTATTTAAATGCAATTAATTAAGCCACTTGACGTTAATATTTAACGAAAAAATTGATATAACAGTTAAAATATTTGATATTATTACACATTTGATCCATGTTACTTATATATTCTGTCAATTTAGTCATAATTTTAATAAATTAAAATAAACTTAACCCTCAAATCAAATGGTGCCAAAGTAGTTTTTATTCATCTTATTCTTTCAATTTGTAGGAAACCAAACAAGAAAGAAAATAAAATAAAATAAAATAAAACTTACAAAAAATTGATTTCATTTTTGAGAAAAAAATATCAAACACTTTGATTTCAAAAATACATCTACATTAAGTAAAATCAAAATTTAAACTCTTAAAAATTAATCCAAAACAATTAAATTTTACTTATAATGCGACGAATTAGGTAAGAGTAAAGTTATAATACTTGAATAGTTGAGTAATAAAAAATAAATATTTTTAAACAAACGTTTTAAAAGTAATTACAAAATAAAATAAAACATCTCATTTAAACTCCTAAAATAATTAAAAGATATAGTTTAAACACATTAATTTGTCACACTAATTCACTTGCGTGTATCAATGTAAAATGTACTATATAGTATTTTAAGCTAAAAAAACGAAGGAGAAATATTGGCACGTCTCATCACAAAACATTGATATGTTTATTTTAATTTATTATTAGAAATAATAAAAGCCGATAAAGAGAAAAGAAAAATTGTACTGGCTGGCATTAAATTGGATTCCTTTTCAATTAACTATTTTGGCATATTTTATGGTTAAATTTATTTTAATCTTATTAAAATTAGAATCAAATTGATAGAATATATAAGTAACAGTGATCAAATGTGCAATTATACCAAATATTTTAATTGCATCATCTTTTTCGCTAAATATTAACGATAAATGTTTTTATTGAATGCATTTAAATAGTACTTAAGTGACATGATTGTCAAAATTTAAAAAATGACGGTCAAAATAAAAAAGGGACAATAGTTAGGTGATCACGAATATAATTTACTTTTTATTTTAAATAATTTATTTTTAAATTTTTAATTAATTTATAATTATATGTTGAGTGATTTAGAATTTTAACGCTTTATAAATTAATAGTTAGTTGATGTGGCATTTTGAATTATTTTTATTTTGGATTAATTAAGTTTTAATAAAACTCGTTAATGATCTACCTCAAATATTTATTGCTACTTATTTGATCAAAGATAAAAAAATATTTATTATATATAAAAAAAATAATTAACATTTAAATATTTAAATATGTTTGATGCATAATAGTTTTATTATTTAATACAAATCTTTAACAAAATAGAATAACTAAAATCATATTTCAATATCCCATATATATATATATATGCTTAATTTTTATCTAAAAGTACAAAAAAATAATATTATATTTATAAAATTAACATTATAAAATAAATAATTCTTTAATGATAAGATTATGTATACAGTTATTTAAGACACTAATATTACTTTTCTAAAATTATAAAACTTCGAAATTTTATTGTATAATTCATAAGATCAAATTTTAATATATTTTACTTAAATTCACAAGATATCCTCGCAGTGTAAAATAAATTTTGTTAAGTGTATGTATTCAATAGTTAATTGTAAAATCAAAATAATTGGATGAAAATTACGAAGCAAAAAAAAAAAAAAAACTGAGTACTCTGAAGTCTCTTGCTTTCAATACTATCAATTTCGCAGGTGTCGCGTCGGTCTATTACACGCACTATCCCTAATTAATTTAAATTAAATTAGATCTATAAAATTATTACACGCACTAAAGGCCGGCCATGCCTTTCTTTACTTTCCTTCTCATCCTAACCTTCTAGAAACATTTCCAACTTTTAGAATAAATTGCCTTTGGAGAATCCTTGGGGTTTGGTCATCCGCCTACTTTATTATTTATTTACAATATAATTATTTATTACACATTCAATAAATTTTTTATTTTTAAATATATAAATAGAGTCGAAATATTATTTTATCTCACTAATTGATATTTCCTTCGTCCCATTAAATTTGTTTATTTTTAAAAAAAAATAAAATTTTTAAATTTTGACAATGATTATTTTAAATATGTTAAACAATTAAATTTTATAAAATATATATTTAAAAATTACTTGATTGAAGTTTTTTAAACATATTTTTTTATATTTTTATCAATAATAATTTAAAATTAAAAGAATTGACCAAAAAAGTCAATAAGAGATTTAACCAAATCCCTACATAATTTGCCACTCTTCCACGCTGGTAATAACTGGCATGGAAACCCCTATATTCATGGAAGCTCCCTTCAATCTTTCAGATTCACGTCCACGACTTGTTATGTTTGCTTAATTTTCGTTATTAATTTTATATTACGTGTGAACTGTACATTTAGTTCTCATATTTTAATTTAATCATTTCTTAGAAATAATCTGGTCACCACCTTATTAGTTGAATAAAATTAATTAGATATTAATATAAATAATAATTTTAAAACTAAAAAATAATTATAAATGCCAATTCATCTCTGGCGTTAAGTTTTTAACGACGAAGTACTAAAATAAAATAAAAACTAAACTTTAGGTATGATTTTGAAAAAATTAAAAGTTTAAATACAAAAATGTACCAAAAGTGAGACTTTAGGTGCTAAATGTATAGTTTACCCTTAAATTTAATGGTATCTAAAACTTCAAACTTTTATGAAAAAATCAATATGGTCATTGAGCTTTTATCATACTCAATAATGGTCTTTAAATTGATTTTTTAATAATTTAATTTTATAGTATTTTCATATTTAATGTATTAAATTTCTTAATAATTTTATATTTTAAATCTTAAATTTAAATAATATCATAATTTTTATAAAAAAATCAATAAATTCTTGAACTTTTTAGAAAATCAATTAGGCCCTCAAACTTAGTCAAAAAAATCAGTTAAGTTCATCTATCATATCATCTTTCATCATGTTCTGTTAAAAAATAAAGTTAAATGTCACATCAAAATTGTAAATTATCATTTAAGTTTTGTGAACTATCATGTAAATACCGTGACAGTTTGATTTTGATGGTTAAAAAAATAGATAGACTTTTGTCTCAGTCTAAATGTCACATTAAGCGTAAAAAAAGTTCAAGGCTATACTAGTCTCCCCCTCAAAAAGTTTGAGGGACTTAAATACTATTAAATATATTTTTTTATTTTAACGACACTTTTATATGTTATTGGTTATTACAATTTTTTTAATTTAATTAATATCCAATATAAATTAATATTATTTTCTTATTATAAACTAAAATAACTTTTGTGTTAAGAAATTTCCTATCAACTTTATTGTTTTATATTTGCATAACTCACATGTTAATTTATGTAATGAATTTTTTTAAAATAGATATCAATCTATTTTCACTATTTTATTTTTGAATTCATGTTTTCATTTATATTAATCAAACATATTTTCTATTTTTCAATAAATTAAAAAATAAAACTATTTCTAAAAG